CATTTTTATCTTTACGATAATGTCTAATCTTTATTTTTCATCACACCTTAGAAACAAGGCAAAAATAGTAAAGAAAAACTTTGTGTTCAAGTAGATGCAAATGTGTATGAAAACCAATAAAAGCTATAGAAATATCCTCAAAGCTATACAAAAAAGAGAATAAACGTGAAATGAAGAACTAGACTTTGAAAGTATAATAATTAAGAATCGATTAATATCATCGCTCTCTCCATATGAAATTTCCATTATCACACACTATAGTGCATTCCTAATAACATCATGTATTAGTTGCATCAATATCTAGTCATTTGCTACATCTAGATGAAGAACTCAGTGACACGTAATAATTGAATCTACGAATGCAGAGATCAAATTCATGCAAAACCTAATTCTTGTGAGAACTTTCTGAAGTGAATCAGAAAACCTCAAATACGCTTAAACCAAAATTGAATATATTGCACCTTTTTGTATCGAATCTTCTGTAACGAGAGGAATAGTATATCCACCAACAGTTTATATGAAGACAGCTGAAAATGTAGGTCCTAAGTAGGTTGTGAATTCTTATTCCAGTCTGTGGGTAAGTAAACATGAAACCCCATTCATCACCACTGATCACACAACATGCATCCGAAGTACTAACCATTGAAAACTAGAAGGTTAAGATCTTCTAGTTTCACAATTAATCCTCACCAAACGGTATCACATCGTCCTCTGCCCGACAAATAATTATAGTAACTTAAAGCACATTCAGCCTCAAATTTCACGGAGCACAGACACTCGCTTCCTAACCAAAGTCTCGCTGTTGTCGAATGCTAACGTCTGAGCAGACTGGAGACTGAAGCAGATCAAGCTGGCAGTAGACAGGAACAGGACTGATGCTGATAAGGACATAAACCTCACAAAACTAAGGACAGGATCGATCGACAGTTACTTCCAACAACTTCTTGTTACTTGTACGACTTGGACGTCAAACGATCTGAGACCGAGTGAGTTTTGAGACTGATGAGGCTGGACTCAGTACCGAGCAACCAGCTTCAAGTAATGAACGGTCGCAAATGCACGAATGCAACCATTGGAAGGGATGCAATCGCCTGCCAATGGTGAATCCCGGAAGGGGATTATCAGAAAACAGCATTTGGTTGCGTGCAAGTACATGGATCCTGATCTAGCGAGTATGGAGTCCATACCACATCTCAAGGATAACCGAACAACTGCTTTGGGAAAGAATGTAGCTCTGGTTCGATGTGGTCCACCGTTACGTTTGTGGGGTCCATCAAGAGAACAGTGTTTCTAGAACGAGGATTTGACTCTCACTTTGTCCTACACTGAGGAGACAACTGCACGAGGAGCTTTCTTACTCTCAGACTGCGGCTTGCTCAGGAGAAACTTCGGTCAACGGATTACGGCTCTCGACGGTACTTACCACCGCGAGCTTTAATATAACAACATTCTAACCACAGCCCTAGGTACGAGTCTCTATGTCACTTGCCACACTGTATAGCTGCTGACAGCTCAATCGAAACGTAGAACACGATGACAGGGGTCAAGTCATGAGATTTCCACGAGGTTCGTTGGAAGTATCCTCGTTTTTCCTCCTTCCTCCTTCCCAACTCGTCAAATATGAGAGCAAATTTTCTCGTTTGTGTGACGAATATGTTAGGACCACATGATGACAGACTGTAATGCTGTAACTGAGATACTTGAGGGGAGTGAGACTGAACTTCTACAGTGGTATATCCTCTGTTGCCCACACAGGAGACATCCTAATGCGCTGGAAGCGTGGAACCTTTCTACGATCGTGAATATTTAATGCCCAGTGAGTAGTACAACTCAAGTCTGGTAGATTTCGAGACGCTTTGTTGTGATAGCCACGCTTTTTCATTTTGGACCCTTATCAAGGAGACTTTGATTCATTTTCCCTCGAAGGCTCCGGATAGCAAATATATAGTGCACACAAGGGAGCGCCCTTTTCAGACAGCAGATAGAATCTTTTCCAGCATTCTTCCGAGGGAGGTTTCGAGAGTTGTTCGTTGGGACCCTCTCTCCGTAGAATTATGTAATCACACAGAGATGACCAAGTCATGCATGATTGCAAGAAGAGGAGCATGCGGGCCCGTTGAGAATAATTAAAAGACACTTTGGGGAGCAGTACGTTCCAGGTTTCGGATCCACCAAACTTCATTTGAAATATGAATCACATTATTCTTCTGGAAGAAAATCATGCAGACGGGAACTCCATTATCTCCCACGAAATCTTGTATATGCAATGAGGTCACCAAATGCATGTATTAAAGTGTCTATTAATCTACTCTATACACATGGCATGCAAGTGGTGTCCACCACATTGCTATCACTGGAGTTCATGATTTTGAGATGGAAGTGGCCATGTTCTATACATACTTAATTATCGGCCCAGAAAAATCATTGCTCTCGGCTGATAATTAACGATGTATTGTAGAACCTGCAATTCTCTCGGCGCTCGTAGTATACTACGTTTAGATTGCTCACAGTTTCCTTTAAAAAAATATAAAAAAATGAAGACTTGGATGTTAGTCTTGTAGCAGTTCGTGAAACTCTGCGCATGCCCACTAGGCTTCAAAGTCGAGAGTTTCAAGTTTTTGGACATCATTATTTTAAAACGCGAATGGCGATGGCCGCTTTGGAAGTTCCAAATGCTAGATGATCGTGGAGTAATTTGATAGTAGCTGCATATCAATATGAAATCGAGTAATACAACACACTCACCAATATAAATCTACGCAAATATCGATTGGGTAGTTACACATGTTTTATATTTTAAAGTTTCATCTACACAATTACGGAAACGAGTTGAACGATTCTCAAAATGAAAACTCCCGCTTTTTAGGGTCTTGTATATCATAAATCTAGGAAAAAATATTAATGTATCACTAAGAGAAAACATTTACTCCATGACTTGCTCAACACTTGGTGGCAGTCTGTGAAATCTCTGGTAAGGACTTAAGTCTAGTGGGGTTCCCCATGGGTTTAGTCATGGTTACTAAATCGTCTCAAATGTTGGGATGAATAAAAACTGCACTGCCAACAACATTTTGTAATTTATGTAATTAAACTAACCAATGAATATGTCATAGGTCATCTCCCGCATAAAATCAAGGAAATTATAAAAAAGTTATTTATATTTAATATTCATATTCATTAACAATTCAAATATTTTTGAGTTTTGAAAAAAGAAATATAGAAGTAAAGAATCTGAAAACATATTCAATAATATTTTGCGGAAATGAATATTTTTAATATCATTAATTAATTTCAAACCGTGTCCAAATAAAGATTTTAATGAAATCTTAGAGTAAAAAAATCATACATCGATATACGATAAATATGATATCTTAATCTCCAAAATCCTCCAAAAAAACAATTTTGTTCATATTCTTTCATCATTTTTTCCCTAATTGAATATCTGGTAACATATTAGTTGAATTGTACATTTATCAGCACAAATATATTCTTCGTTTTTGTCTATGTGTACATGAAGGTACGATTTATATGACATTGTCGAAATTTCAACATCAAGAACATGTTGTGTGATATCCCAAACAAATCAATCATGATTGAGATATCTGATAAACTTTCAGATTTTTTCATGAAACTTCCGAATTGGAGGTTATCTATAACGAATCGAATCCAATACATTTAAGTTCGGGGGTTTTTTATGACGAATGTATCCACAGGTATATTTGTCACAATATTTATACGACAATTTATTGTGTGCAGAGCCGAAATTTGAATGAGACATGGAAAACTTGGATTGCGTTGAGTAGAGCCAGGAGCATACTGTGTATCATGGTGTCGAGGCTGCTTGAGAGTTGTGGCTCCCTTCCAGTCGTGCGGATCCAAATTTACATGGACGTGTTGGGGTCTCAGACACTGTGAATCGAATGTGGACTTATCCGTCTAAAGAAAGCAATGTTCTGGTCAAAGGGCCAGCCATCTGACATCTTCAGAAATATTTAGTCAAAGTGAAAAGTACCGAAAGCGGTTCAAAAAGCATCAAAGATTCGCTAGAATAACAGGACCCGCCCGAAGGGCCCGTATAGTCCGGCGTCAAACCACCGTATCGAGCTCCAGTTTGATAAATCAGATTTCTCGTAAACTGCTGTACGATATGTCACATGTACACTTCAACCGATCCGCAAGAATGTCGCCTTCCCCATCTGCAGCTGCAGTAGCTAACTACGTTGTTCAGCTGACGAGGATTTTATCTGATCGATTACAGCAAGTCCTGCGAAGATGTGGTGCGCTATGGATCTACCGAAGCTCTGTAAGAGATAACTAGCCTCGAGCTGAAGAAGAGTCGACCACGGAGTCATGACAAGGTGTGCATAAAGCCGAGTGTAAGTGTGTGAACATCTCGAAGATGGACTGCCCCGATCTTTTCATCCCCAGGACAGTTTTGTCCAGTTCGAGCCATGAAAGTGAGGCCCAAAGCTGGAACCAATGATTTTCCACCTATTCTGTAGAATCTGAATCTATGTTGCAAGGTGAAGGTGGTACAAGTCCCGGGCGTACCCAAGCCTTGGCAGCTAGCACAACTTCACACGCTGATGAACTCCGAATACGTAAGACATATGCAACCTGCCTCGGGGCTTAAAGTAAAGGCTAGCGCAGGGTGCCCACGCTGGAAGGGCATTTTATTGCCTCGAGTAAAAAAGTGCGCGGTCGAGATAAGCCGCAGCTCGAAATGAGCGTCTATTTATGCCTCCAGGGGATGTCTAGGATACCGGTAGAGAACAATGTATTAATACCCAACAGACAGCAGAGGTGTGCCTGATTTTAATGATTTGACCTCGAGTCCTCGAGTCCACCAGTCCACAAGCCCAGATGGCCCCGGATGCCGCGAAGGCCCGCTTTTACTTCTCCAGGGCGGATGCGGGGGACAGATGAAAAGTACTTCCGCCCTGGACAGCAGATCTGGGCAGTGATTACGGATGAGAAGACCACAAGCCCATATTTCGGGGGCATTAGGACGCATTGGCTTTACATCTCGAGCTAGGCAGCATGTGGGCAGGGGCTGAGGTGCAGCTTGAGCTGGGAGTAATTCGTGGGGATTACGTGAGAGCGTGTGTCACCAGTGTCGGGCATAGTGAATGGTGAGATTCGTGTGAGGATGTGGGGGAGGTGTAGGTCCACATTCCCTGCTCGTCTCGCTCCCACGTCCGGAAAACCGGCAGCGGAAGCTGCAGCTCGGAACAAGGAAGTTGCTGCATGATTGCCTTGGGCCGCGGTGCTCGCGAGCGATCGCTCTCACACGCCTTCTAATGCTCGTCATTCAGTCCCATCAGGCAAGGGCGAACTGTCTGCCTGTCCACACAGTGGGAACGCGAGGAGAGAGAAAGGGAGGGGGGGACATAGATCCATGGTGCTGGTGATCGGTAATCTCGTGCAGGAGTAGCAGCAGCTTCAGCTGCAGCAGGGGTCATCCAGTTAGCATTTCTTGATTCTTGACCTGCAGTGTTGCACTCCTATACCTCACCCGGATCTCTCTCCCTCTCTCTCCAGACATCTTCCTAATTCCGTATTCCATCCTCGGAGGCATTCTTTCTATTTCCGCCCCTTGGCAATAAATCAAGCTTCCAACGACGAATTCCATCCGCCCTCTCTTATAATTAAGCTCTGCAGATTTGCAGCTCACGCAGAGCGCGCACAGCGGCCCGGACAGATTGGGAATCGGAGCACATCGAGAGGTTCAATTCGACCGAAAGGAACTCGGATTCTGCGAGGTGTGGACTCGAGCCAGGCAACCTGGAAGAGAGCGGCGGTGGGATTCGGTGCGGGCCGGGGGCCGGGGGCTGGAGTCGCGTATATGTTGATGTCCTGACAGAAGTCTGAGCACGGAATTGCAGATTTACGAGGCCGATCGAACATGTGTGAAGCACACGCGGGCCGGCCAAGTGAGAAATTGCAGGTGCAGGGGGTGGGAAATTAGAAAAACTCGAGGCGAGGCCGAATTCGAGCGGGTCTGAGAGGGAGCGATCGCGCAGTCGACGACATTGCTCTGGTCCTTCCGGGGCCGGGCGCCGGGCACGATCTGCGAGTGCCCGGGAGGAGGCAGGGCAGCAAATGCAGGAGAGCCCTCGCGATGGTGGTCTTCGCACCCACCAAGCCGAGCCGCTCGCTGTGCTACAGGCCGGCCATCATCTCCACCACGCTGGGCGTGCTCTTCCTCGTCTACCTCACGACGGTGCTGCTGTTCCCCAAGGTGCCCAACATCATCGCGCCGTCGAGCTCCTTCTCTGAGACGGGCTCGCTCAACAGCATCTTCAGCGGCCCGACGGAGGCGCTGTCGCCCGCCGTCGAGCGCCTCGTCGCCGATCTGCGCCGCGCCACGCAGGAAGCCGAGCGCGGAGGCGTCCCGTTCTCGTACACGGCCAAAGAGCGCGAGCGCTGGCTCGAGCGCAACCCCTGCCGCGCGCGCAGCGAGCTGCCCCCGCTCTACGCGCGCCGGCGCGTGCAGGATGTCGCGCCGAACCCGCAGTGGCAGGCCGTGCTGGCCGAGTACGCGACGCTGCACCGCACCTGCGTGCGCAAAATCGCCAACCTGACCGACTACTTCGTGACGGGCGCGGACGTGCCCGGGTGCAAATTCATGACGGGCGAGTCGCTCTTCGGCCTGGGCAACAAGCTGACCTTCGCGGCGTCGCTGGTGCTGTATGCCATCCTGACGCAGCGCGTGGTGCTGTTCCCGGAGTGGAGCTCGTCCATGCCCGTGACGATGTGCGAGCCCTTCGAGGGCTCGTCGTGGAAGGTGCCAACGGGGCTTGAGTTTCTGAGCAAGCGCCCCATGTCGCCCATGGGCGTGAACGAGCTCCGGTCGACGAACGCGACGGACCGGCTGCTGGCCTGGGTCGACCTCGAGCGCAAGCACTGGACCAATGCCAGCGCCGCGAACCTGGCCGGCAAGATGTACTACGCGGAGCTCGACGACGGCTGGCAGCCGGTAGACCGGTTCTGGTGCGACGCCGAGCAGGAGGTCGCGTCGCACGTCCGGTGGATGTCGATGGCCGGCTGCTTCTACTTCGTGCCCAAGCTTTTCGCCATCCCCCGGTTCCAGCCCACGCTGGAGGCCCTCTTCCCCGACAAGCTGGCGCTGACTCACATCCTGCGCTCCGTCTTCCTGCCTTACGACGCCGCGTGGGATCGCGTCAAGCGCATCGACGACATGTTCCTCGAGAAGGCGGACAAGCGCGTCAGCATCCAGGTCCGCTACCGCATGGGCGAGTACGAGCACACGCAGCTGAGTCAGGGCGTGAATCAGCACATCACCAGCTGCCTGCTGGACAACGGAATTCTGCCGAACGTGACGCAGTTCTTCTCGCCCGAGCTGCAGCGCGGTTTGCCGCGGCCCGCGCCCATAATCAAGGTGCTCATCACGTCGCTGTATCTCGACCTGCAGGACCATCTGTCGGAGATGTATCTGCGCCACCAGACCGTCACGGGCGAGAGCGTGGGCCTGCTGCAGCTGACCCACGACGACGAGCAGCGCTGGGGGCTCGAGCCCGACACGCAGGCGCTGGTCGAGGTCATCCTGCTCAGCCTCTCGGACACCATGCTCGTCACGCCGCTCTCGACCTTCGGCGGCGTGGCGCAGGCCTACGGCGGCCTGCGCCCCTTCATCATCGAGCAGTCGAAGCGCGAGGGCGGCTCGTGCGTGCGCGCCGACTCCGTCGACATGTGCTACCAGCAGGCCTCGACGACTTACGACTGCCCCCACGACAAGCGCCGCCACGAGAAGGAGATCAGCGACGTCGTGCCATACATTCAGAAGTGCATGGCCGTGGATTCGTCGACCGGCGTGCACCTCATCACGAGCTGAATCTGAGCGCCTCGATGGATGCACTCGCGATTGATTGCACTTTTCTGGAGCCAGATCGATCGACCAGAAGATGAAGAAGTCGATGAAGACGACTCGTTGGTGCCTGAGATTGGAGCCCGGTCGAGGGCGAGTCTCCGGCGCGTCGGCCGCATGTTCGTCGGCCGAGCACAGCAGCTGCGAAAGTTGGGAGTGAGCAGGTTGCGACAACAACCACAATTGTGACAATAGGACTCTTACATCTGACAATAACAATCACCTCCTCCCGTTTCCCGCCCGTCCGCGTCGATCTTCGTCCCCGATCCGGGACTACAGGTGGTTGGTGAATGTACAGTACGATACAGTAGTGGTTTGTAAATCTAGCAGCAGATATATGTTTATCGATTCTTTCTCAATTCTTCGACCCGGAATTGACCTGCCCATCCTCCCGCACATCGAGCACGGATGATGGCTGAAGTGGCAACCTATTCAAATTTCTGAAAATTAGGACACGGATCTCTCTCGACAGTACCAGCTGAGCTTTGATCTTGTAAGGTTTCGTTCGAAGCACCATCGCCTCGATCCTCGGCGACCGATGCCACGGTGAATTTTTGTTACTCGTCGGGCTTGGTGATGGAATGGTGGTCCGTTGGAAATGAGGGTGCATTACTCTCGAAAAATGCTGTAGGCTGGTTTGATATGATCACTCGACTGATGACGAACAAGATGATGATGATGACGTTGTTGTTTCTGAGCCCCGCTCTTCGAGACTCAGAAAGTTAGTTAGTACCGATTACCATCTTGGCCATCGAGACCCGCTTCGGTGGTTTGCAGCCTGCAATTGCAAGCGCACCCTGGGGAGCGGAGAGTTTTTGGAAATCTATTGTCCAGGGCTACTCAAGAACTATTTTTTACCAAATAAAAGCTCCATTTAGCACGCGCTCTGCTCTGCTCTGGATCTGAAGTTGATTGCAGCTTTGCCATGTCCATGTCTAAATCTGCAGGCAAGTCGGTCTACCGCTGCATTTTCTAGTTGCGGTGGCAGAATGTGCAAACTTTTGATTCTCGAATGCTGCACGCGGTCACTGGTGAAAGAAAGCATCGGCTCAGCAGGTGGCCAGCAGGTTTCCTTACGAAATTTAGTGGTCTGTGTCATGGCTGCGGTTGCAGAATGTGGAATTCTGGGGTCTCCAAGGGATGCGAGCCGTGGGTGGTGAATAGGAAGCATGGGTTTGGAACAGATCCCGGGAACAATCATGAAGCTCTAATCTATTAAACCAGGGAACGATCATGGAGCACTAATCTATTCAACTCTTCCTGTTGTACATCACGTTCTAAACGATGAACGTCTTTTCTTATCATCACAGCATCGATGACGCTCGAGTCCAGGTGCTCTGCCTGCTGGGCATCTCCTGGCCTCGGACTTTCTAGCCGCGACGAGCATAGGTCCAAGCCTTTTGCACCTCGGTACGGTACGCAGAGTCACACGCCAGGTATCTTCGGCTAGGACCTGATTAGATTTCGGTGCATGAGAGCCCCGCCCGCACATGCCTATCCCTTGGATCGAGAAAGCGAATTTGTCCGCTGCCGTGCCTAAAGCAAAGGTTTACCATGGGTACATGTTACTCTTTGTGGGTAAAGCGCCGATTATTGTGGGGCCTCGGCCGAAGACTCGAGCCAAAGCAACGTCTGGCTTTTCGGCGGTACACACCGACTGAGGAATAAATACTCGGACGTACTCAACTCGGTGAGCTTTTTGAGCGATCGAATGTTCCGAACCTCTCAGAGATTCCTTTCGGCATGGAGAACCTTTTATCAATCGACGCCAACTCTGGACCTCTGGAATGTATCATGATCTCGAATTGCATCTCGTACCTGCACTGCACTGTCTGCATGGAATGAATGTTCAGACTGAACTATGGAGTGAATGATCTGTTGCATGGGGTTCGAGTGGACTGAGATCTCAGCTTCTGCCAGCGAACTCGAGTCCGAGAATGCGTTGGAATGTGAAGAGCGTGAGGGGACAAGGTTATGGACGCAATCAATTCATGATCATAGCCTTGGGATTCATGAGCGAGACGTGCGAACAGTGAGTGGGAATGATCATAGATTTCTCGTCTTTCCTTTCCTGTAGCCGTCGATGGCTGACGATGATGAGTAATCTCATGCACCCCACCCGCATGGCCTCCGAGTTAGGTGAAATCATATGATCGGGGTCCAAGAATCATGGAAGGAGCTTGCGTGACAGAGATGCGTCCTTCCTCCTCCGAGCTGTGAACATTGCACGAACCTCTGTTAAGTACCGGAACTTATGATAACTCGATCCCACTATGCACATCGCAGACGGCCAAGTTCAGGCTGCCCTGGCTCGGCCTTCGCAACTTCTTCGATCTCACCTTCTCCGACCGCCCACGAAGAAACTCCGCACACCGAGGCGCCTGATTGATAATTGCTCGATCCATCCGACAAACTCTCAGGTGATTAGTCTACAGGTCAACGATTCTCGTCTTTCAATGGAAACGATGATGGTGAATTCTCACGTTTGTTGCAGCCCCTAACGTGACTAAATCGATGGTGGTTCTTATGATTGGAACAGTACTGAGTCCATTTATACCACACGGCCTGAGATTGATGCCATCGCGCCCGAGCTCTCTCGAGCGCAGTCACGCGTGCGCAACAGGCTCCGTGCGCAACTAACTATAACCGCATGCGATCCTACAACGATAACAAAATCTTCCCACATCATCAGCTCCCCCACGTCCTTTTAATTACCCTCTCCCTTTACGGGATCAAGGTCAAATCCAGCTCTTCTGGCATCCACAATATTTCGGCCCTAATCAAGCTGGAAACGAGTCGGTCGACCTGGACGGGCGTTGACAAAGGCTCGGCCCAGGGCTGCAGGTCTAGCTCGAAGGAGCCAGTTTATCTGGATCTATATTCTGTGACTGAGCGATGTCTCCAGCCTTCGTCTCTCTTCCGCGAAAGCTTGGCAGCCGAGAAAAGGTAAAGCGGATACGCCGAGAAGAATTCTTCGAGTCGGTGAGCTTTACAGTGAGTCCGGCAACCTTTAACGAACCCGGATTTATTCCCCGGCTTTCCACCCCCACCAGAGCCACCACCAGCACAGAAGCCGACCAAGGCTACGAGTACGATCAGATCATGAATAGGTGAAATAGGCCTGAGCATGTATTTGCCCTGCCAGGGCTGGGCTGCTGCTGCTCGATGGCCTCGAGTCCAGACGGTCGGACCAGTTTATTTCTGCTGAGGTCCGAATCACGAAAGCCCACGTACAGAGGGACGCCAGTCAACTCCCAGGACTGGACTAAATCCGCACTTCTCCCGCTTCGCTGCAGTGGCTCGCCTGCCACCACCATTTCCGCTCTCGTGCAGTGGCTTTACTCTCTCGTAGTCCGGTACAGCCGCACGCCCATGAAATGGGACCACTTACCGCGAGGGCGATGGCCCGATGTTGTCAGGTTGATGGTTCCGCCATGTCCGTGCATGCCTGTGCTCTTGTTTGCTCCCCTTCTGTCGGACTCGAATAAGCAATCTGTACCACGTCGGAGTGAAAGCCGCAGTTTCTCGAGTATCGTCTCTCTCTCCTCATTGGTCGTTTCCGCCCGCTGATATTCCGGGAGGAAATATATATATAAAATTTTCGGTTGTACATTTATACATTCTCATGTGAAATTAGATTTGTCCAACCTATATACTAAAACAAAGTATATAAATATTCCAGCTAGGTGTGCAAGAAATAACTAACCATGTTCAAATGTAACGTTCTAGGGACAATAAGGTATGTTTAGATATAAAAATATACCGGAACGAGAATATGCAAGCTTGGTTACCATAAGAACATTACTAGGAACCAAATAAACGGAAAAAAAACAACCAAGTTTAAAAAGAATTACATTGAAAAAAGTATAAAAAATAATTAAATATTAAAAAAACAAAATATTGTCAAAAAATCTATCATCTATTGTTTCCAAACGGGTTAAAATTAATGAGAACACAAACATCTCAATCTATCATAGATATTATAACATATAATATATATAGATCAATTATTTCTTGAACATACATAGTAAAAAACACACACACATACATGTTACAACTCAAATTAGAATTAAAAAAATAAAATATTAAAAATAACAAAAAATAATATTAAATTGAAAATTTATAATAAAAATATTATAAAATATAGTACTAAATTGGAAAAAAATTTATTAAATATGAAGAACTCATGTGAAATTAGTCATTTGCTCACATTAGGTACTCAACTGCAATTCATCTTAATATAAATTTAAGTTATTTAATTTTTGATGTAAAGAATATTTACATTTTGTATCATTTCATGATAGATTTGAAACATAAATTTTTGTTAAGAATAATAAAAATATGTTAGTAATGAACAATTTTTTTATACATAACATGGGTTAAATTGAAATTATTTAAAAAAATGTTAAGACACAAGATGGAAAAATACAAAACAAAAAATGAGATAAAATTCAATTCTTAGCATCAAAATGATAAGATTTTCAAAACATATATAATGAAATTTTGGCGCTAGTGGTTAACTAATCAAAATTGAATGGAAGATAAGTTAAATGGATCTTACTATTATAATATTTTGATTACACAGTGAAGTACAAGCCAAAATGGATACATTTGCAAACTTATCACTTGACTAGTGTATCGGGAGAAGTTGCCTCCAGCATTATAGATAACACACTGAAAGATGAGAATTTTTTGACAGTGATTGTTCAAACAAAATGATATGAACACATTGTAAAATTATTGAGGATTCAACAACTAGAAGTAAAATAGATAAAATAACATAGGAATAAAAAAAATATGAATGATATATATTTTTTTGTGATAGGACATAGATTTTTCAGAAACAGTTATAGAATATATTGTTGAAGCGATGTGTACCTGAGATGGAATTGACCTCATTCTTAGCCGTCTGTCAAGAATATCAATGTAGTGATTATTTTTTGTGGCAGCTCAAATGACACAAATTTTAAAACAATTTTAGAGCAATTTATTTTCGGCTAATTTTGTTTAAAGATGCATATAATTATGTGAAGATAATTTAATTCTCCTTTCTTTTCTTAATACTTGAATACTGGCGCAAAAATTGTTTATCTTGATCCTACTAAGAATCATATGCTTGTCTCAAAGATTATGCTTTGCAGGTTGATTCTACCAGTAGTCATATGTTTGTCTCAAAGATTACTTGACTGAGGTAGCTTGCGGCGGTTAATGTTGTGTTAATGTTGTTAATGAGAGTGTGTTTCCGGCATCATGCCGGAAACACACTCTCGGATCATCTCCCGATCTCCATGGAGCTCGAGGTGGGCACGCTCGCGGGACAGGATGGCAGACTCTCGGCCATCGGACCCACTATGTTCAAATGAAGCCCCGCACTGATCAACACTACTCGCCGAGCTGCCCCCACCCGAAGAAACAAACTAGGTATGTACCGACGTGCAGCAACTACAGGAAGGTAGGACACACGACGGTCGAATGTGACCAGCCACCAATCGCCAGGCCAACCGTGCGTTTCGTGACGCCACCTGTCAAGGAAGATGTGCAGGTCAATCAGGTAGACCTGGGCTCGGACTCAACTGAAGAAGACGAAGTGTGGCCGAAGGAAGAAGTGATGTGCGGACGGGTAGAGACCCGAAGTTCGAAAAGGCGGGGAGAGGACCACAAAGACACTCGCCGACTCGACTGTAAGGCAGAGGGACGGAAGTCTAAAGCGGAGGAGAAGTCTAGCCGAAGCAAAACACCGGGTACGCCTCCGGCGATGCGGAACATCCAGTCGGCGCTAAACCTCGGAGAAGGCGGACGGGACCTCAGACGAGGTCCGGAATCGCAACTACCTTCCGGACATGAAGGATGAGGTAAGCCACCTCATCAAGGAAGCATTGAGCG